AAGTGCCATTTCAAGCAAAACATAAAGTTGCAAGTCTAGGCAAGTATATTTGTCTCTATTGAGAACCAAGCAGTATAAATAGCAGAACAATTGAAATCTCAGTCTCATGAAAGAAAAAATGTTCCTTCTGTTGGAAAAGGAGTGGGTTTTGTGTGTATATCCAACTAGTACTTAAAGCTGGTACAAGTGAGACAGAGACAAAGTTTCCCAGCTCGGATGTTGTGTCTCAGCCAGTCTAATGTGTTCACTCTCTTGTTTAAATCTGAAAAAATGTCCTGAACCCAGCAAAATATATGGCACAATTTTTCACACAGTCATATTTTTTAAGAAGAGATAATAGTTACATTTCACATTTTTCTTTTATTTTTCACTTAGAAAGATTCCTCTCTGGATCTGGTTTGTTTTACATTTCAACTCTTCCATCTGTTAAATTGCAAAAAAAATATTTATGTTAAGATGCAATAGGTGGGTCTGTTAAATAGTTTGAAAATAATCAGTACCATGAATTTGATTTTTGGTTATGCCAAATAGCTCTGGATTGATCCCTGTGGAAGAAAACCAGATAATTTTAATTTTATAAATTCAAATTTCTTCCCACATCTTTTAGCCATATTTCAATTTCCAGCCTATTCATATGAGTTACAGACGTGTGTATCAAGATGTAGCCTGCATCCCAAGGAGTAACACTTGTTCTTGCACTTTAATCTTGGTTTATTGGAGTTTTACCAGTGACTTCACAGGTATCATGTTTCTATTCATAATTAATAAGCAAACATACAGTATTGTCAGCGGTTAATATTATTATATGGTACATCATGAATTTAAATCAAAACAAAGACGAATCCTTACTAGTATCTTAGGAGATTTTGCAGACATCAAACAAGCTGGAAGATATCTGAACATTATTTCTAAGGAAAAGATGAAAGTGTTTCACGGCATATTGATTTGTACATGAATATAAATGATTAATATACTTTTGGTCCAGCTTCAGCTGGACTTCTTTAGACAACATCTAAGAAGCAGTCTATGATCTTATATTTCATATAACTATCGATAGTTCAATAGACATCAATATATATAATTATATATATATATATTTTTACCTTAATCATATATCAGGTCTTGCATTATAAATCAAGCCTTGACAAAAATAAAGGTATAGAGATGCCAGATTTCTAATGTATGCATTTTAGTTTTTCTTAATTTTTACTTTCAGTGTGAATCTCTTTCCATTCTTTCTCATTTTTGAATGAGGATCACTCGATAGATACTATAATTTAAAAAATTTTCCTCTGTATTGAAATTCTGTCAATGTTACCTGAGATGTGTTATGGAAAAAATGCCAATTCCCCATTACTCTGCCTAAAATAGTCTCTTATTAATAGATTGATTTTTTAAAATCTCTTTTTCCTTCTAAAGTAAATCAAAACAAATAAGAAGAAAAACTTGAAGTTGACTAGGAAGTTGAAATGAGGAAAAAATGGGGACAAAGGATGACTAATTCTTACAAAGCAACAAGGACCTGTTTCAGTAACTTAACTGACCATCAGAGACTTCACGTTTCTGGGGAGGAGGAAGAGTAAAATCAGTGCATTTCAAACAATGTCATTTAGAATTGATGTGTTAAGTAACATAAGTTGCTATATTAATAATCTTTTCTGGCAATTTGCATGGGAATCTTATATTTATTTCTTGACAGTGTATCTTCCAAAGAACCCTTTTCCCTATGCTATCATTTCTGACAAGTGAAGCTCACTATGTCAACAGAGTAATTCTGCTTTTATTGCTATGCAGAATAGATTGCTTTTAATGTGTAGATTATGTTTCCAGTCTAATACCTAGGAAAGTAAGACCTGTTCTGAGAAGCTTTCAAAATAAGCTTGAAGTTTCATTTGAACTCAAACTGCAAAGAGTGTGTTGGTGGTTTTTTAAGGAATGACACTTAGCAACTGAATGCCCTTATAGCTGCCCAGAAGTCTTGCACATAATTATACATCCTGTTTCATATCGGTGCCAGGAAAATGTAAAGTCAAAATGATTATAAATATGTAATCTGAGTAATTTGATATGTCACTTTGAAACATTATTTGACTGTCATATCCTGGATGAAGCTGCTGCTTTTGTGAAGTACTTACATTTCTATCGCAATAATCCACTGTGAACCAATAACAAAAGGCAAGTAAATATGGAAATTATACTGCCTGAGGAAAACCTGCCACACTCAGTACAGTGATAGCTGGCTCAGACAAGAGGAATTCAAGTGAATAAAAAACTAATTCTGTTTCCTTGTTTTTAAAAATGTAGATAGGAAAAGATGACAACTATCTTGGTTTAGTGACATACATTGCACATGAGCAAAAATCTTATGGTACAAAGAGATGGAAGACTCAAAGGCTCCTTTGTTACTGCAAAGTGCAGTACCTTTAAAATGCTTCAGAGTAGATTCAACCCACGTGTAACATCAGTAAAGTTATGTCAAGTTGCCAGGGAGATCTGGGACTCCTATAAACTTGTGGCTAGGCTATTTTTCTCCTGCAAGCTCTCCCTGTCTGTGCTCCAAGCTAGTCAGTCCCAATTTAGCTGCATTTCAGAAATCGTTATGCTTATGCCAATCTATCCCTGCTTCAGGAGTAGCTCAGAGGGGTGTCATGCAGGTGCCCCTCCACACACATAAATCATGGGAATTTGGTTCTGTCTTTTGTTTTCTCCCTGGTGCCACCAGTGTGAACACATCCTGCTGCTGCACTGGCCCTCTTCGCCTGAGCCTGTGCTTCAACAAGTGACATCACTTGGATTTTCTTCTTCTGCTTCAGAAACACACTTGTTTTGGCTTTATGACAGAAGAAATTGTATTGCCTGGATGTAAGAAGGTCTGGGACAATTGCATGGCTCATATTGTGAAGATGAAAGCACTGTCTGCTCTTTCTGGTGCATCCTTGCTTTAATCTGCAAAGTGCTGAAAACTGAGCCCCTACTCATCAAAATGCTTCAAGGCTACTGGCTTGCTGGGGGTCTTTGGGGCAGAAAGACAAAAAATGAAGCTTATTCAGGTAATATCATTCATGTTTGCTGTATCTAAAATCTCAAATGGGAATTAATCATTTCTTTTTTTTCATGATTGTGTGTTGTGCATAGGAATAAACTTGGTGTGAAGTGAAGCAGCTGACAGCTTGATGGCAGTATCGCAAATAAGGCTACAGATGCATCCAGTTTAAAATGCTGGGATTTTTTTAATCAATCAGAGTTATTTGAGTTTCATTCTCGAGAAAATGAAATTAAACTTATTTCCCACCATCACCAATCAGTTTAAGAACTAGACAAGGTGTGAATTTCTTATATTTTCTTCCAGGGCTTTTGTTAGATCAGTTTAACTGGGGCTCTGCATGGCTGTCTGTCTCTCTGTCTATCTATATATCTATAAATCAGTCCTTTGGCTTTTTTCATAAAGCAACAAGGTGCATGTTTCTTGACCAGTTCTTGGACAAATGCACGCAATAATTAATGAGTGATAGGTTTTCAGGAGAGATTGCTCCTAGAGACAATTACACGAAGAGAAATCTAGCCACCAGAAATGTGTGGAGTAAACAGACATTTCACAGAAGTGACTTTCTCTTGTTTTCCTTGGGATCCTTGAGTTAGAAACGTAAATCCACTGGGTTTATATAATTTCATAACTCAGAAATTAATGTACCACATTTCATTAGGGCCTGTGGCTCCTTCACTGGAGAATAGTTTTATCTCCTTCATTACACCTGCAACCTGCAGTTGGAAATCCAAAATGGATCAATCTGGGACACTGCTACAGTGCAAAACCATCTGACAAACCTCTTAATAAATGTCATGAAGAAGTGACATACAGCCTGCTCCTAAATGGCCTTTTGCCAGATGCCAACAGAACTATCTGCATCTGCCTGCTAATAGGAAACCATAATGATTTCCTTGCCATGTAGCTTGTGAATATGAAGTGAAATCTTTTCCTTCACTGAGCTGAACATGGCTGCTTGCATCTTGATGAATGACTCGTGTTGTTAGCCAAAGTCACTGACTTGTCTAGCCCATGAATACCACTAACTGTAAACACTGCATGTTTTCCAGTGGATTCCAATAACTGCGTGGAAAAAGCCAACATTCCCTCTGACTATAAATACACTAGTAGCCCTCCTTAGTGAGCACAAGAGTGAGCTATAGTTGTCTTTGCTGACCTGAATGTACATTCCTATTGTATTCTCATGTAAATGAACACAACATATAGATGGGACAAAAACCTACTGAGTGGAAAGAGGAGTATGTGATGGAAGAAACAGAAAAACTCTGGAAGTTAATCTCAATTGTAATAGTTCAGTAATTAGATCACAAGAACACTGCAGAATGCTGGAAGCTTTTTGTAAGGATTTTGTGTAGGCTTTGCTCATCAGCTATAAAGAAATGGTATTTGTAAAGTTTTGTTATTATTTTTAAATAAATTACTAAAGAGTCTTCATGGTAATTTATTCAGGATTTCATAATGTTCTCTGTCATAAAATATGCACATTAAGGACCCTGTATGTGCTTTTGTACAATATGTCATTTCAGGGAGGGATTTACTGAGGTTGCGCCAACTGGTTTCACTGCAGCCACACTGAAATAATTATTCAAATATCTTCACTGTAAATCCGCAAAACCTCTCTTTTGGCATTTTATGGTTGATTCTATTTTGATGCATCAACATGGTGTATGTCATGGTGATATTTCAGCATGACATTTTAAGCATGGTCCTCTGACTGCTTGTACACGGTTCTTCCCTGAGAGCTGAAACTACAGGCAAGAAAGTTATTAAAAAAGCTAAGTAAAAATGTCTTATTCCATTTTTCTAATCTGTAGGGATCCACATTTCAAAGTCTGTCTTCAGAAGAATTATGTATTTGCTTAGATTATACAGCTCATGGCATTTACAATATGTTGTCTTTGAATCAAGGGACTCCACTCCTCAGACTGGTTTTACCTATTGTCCTTTTTTACAGGCCAGGTGCGTGCTCTGGTGCTGCAGGACCAGTCTATTCCCAGCCAGAGGAAGAGGAAGAGGAAAGCTTAAGGCTACATCTCTTAGGACCAGCTTGCAGGGAGCTGATATAAGCCAAAGTATAGGTAGTGAGTATGACTAAAATTACTTTACCCCACTGGAGGCTGAATATGCAAGCTGAGGACATTATTGCAAATTTGTAGACAATTTTTCGATGTATCTTACTGTGGTATTTATAAATAAAGATAATGAGGCAATCCTGTAGATGATAGGACCTACATATTTCAATGAGTTTAAAAGTCTTCATTTCCTTAATACAAAAGAAGAGTGAGAGCTACTAAATGTTTGAAATGTGCAATGAAGGCATTTAGTACAGCATCATGATCATGCTCACAAGTGAAATCACAAATTCAAAATAGAAAGAGCAGGCTGGACTTATTAAAGTGGCATTGGTATCTACAGCCTTGCACTCTGCATGCTATCCTTGTAAATCTTAAAAGTTATCTGCCTGCTGTTAAAGCTATTAAAGCGTTTGAATAGTTACAGGGACAGAAACACAAACACTGCTTTCTTCTTCATGGAAGTGTTTTATATTTGTTCTTTGCTGTTTCCCTTTACTGCAGTAAGCCATCTATACAGAAAGTAACCTCCACCAACTCTGTATGGGAACTGCAGCTGAGAGGTATATCTTGAAAGGTGCCATTCAGCCAAGACAACCATGTGTTAATGAAATTTTCTAAAAAACATCTAAAAATCTCTTTGGTTATTTTCACATAATCTCAACCTAATGAGTTTTTCAGATCAGATGGATGAAGGTCACTTCTGCTGTGTGCCATTTGAATGCTTGGTGGTGGAGGCACGTGAGGACGATGGTCCAAAACACTCATCTGAAGGCTTAAAATAAGCTAAGACAAATGCCAGGTATCAGTCCGCAACACAAGAGAGCACACTCTCACACACATAGAGGCTCTCCCATCAGTACCACAGAGCTGAATGCTTGTGGGTTTGAACTTCGCTACATGTCAGAGATTTTTGGAAAGTTTTCTTTAGGCACCACTGGTCTGCATCACTCATATCAGCTTTTCAGACAAACACAAGGCTTCTACCATGCTTGTGAAGCTTTGATAATGTTTGCAGTATACTTCAGACCCTTCAGAACAGAACAAAAGCTATTGTTTTTAAATAATTCCCTATCATAGAGTCCAACCCTTTGAAAAATCACTTGGGAAGGACTCCATCTGGAAACAACCCACTAATTAAAGACTTACATGTATTATCCACCTTTATTTAAATATCAAAACTCTCCCTTTTGTTGTAATATGGGTATTTATATTAGCTGGATAGTCCATTATGTGTAAACAGCTTTTTCCTACAGTAATATTTCTTCCAAGGTGTTACTTCCCCAGGGCTAATATGATTCCATTTTTTTTTCCCCCTTTCTTTCTTTTCTTGTATTAGTAAACTGCTGATTGAGCTCATAAGTTGAAAAACGCAACTTATTCATCCTTACCCCATCCTCCCAGTGCATTTATTTCTGTCACACACAAAGGCATATTTTCCAGTCAATGTCTTCTTCATTTTAAGATCAATATTCCTTGTTACCTTGCTGTTAGGTTGGAGTACCTAGTCTGAAAGGGATCTGAGAATATAATGGTATTTTAGTATTCTGGGGTGAGGGGAGAAAGCACATTTGAATTCCCTGAGTAGGCATCAGAGTGATTGCCCCCTACTCCCCAACAAAGTAAGCAAGAACGGAACCCAGGGTCCCAGCATTCTACTTGATAGAGGAGGTTAAAGGGGACATTTGTGTCCCCTCCCTTTTCTCATTCCATTGTTTTCTCTGAAGTACTTTGTGAAGAAGTTATTTTTACTTGACATACCCTTTATAAATATTCCCCAAGGACTCGCAGCTAAAATTGTCTGGTAGTTTAGACAGCTTTTTCCTGTTGTGATATTTAACCTTCTTGCTTTCCTAACTTGGTGGCAAAGCTGTTATTTTCAACTTATCAGATAGGCTTTTGGTTCTGTCTTCTGTTGTCCTTTTTTTTTATTTTTTATTTTTTCTGTAGAACCATGTTTCAGCCTTTGTAATTAATTACAGGCATAAATCCTTTCCAGTTCAGCCAAATTCCACTATAAACCTTATGTTTAGCTTCTAATAATTTTGTTTATAAAATGTATCTACCTTGAAAATTTCCCAGGTTTATTTTTTAAGACAAAGTACTTCTAAAGGAGCATTCTAAGAGAAAAAAAAAAGTTGAAATGGTTATCCATTTTTAATAAGTATCTGAATTTATATTGTGCAAATGCAATTCTACTGCTTTTGAAAGGGTTGTCATTTTGGAAAAAAGTGAATAATGAAATTTAAAATGAGAAATTATGGAATAAGACTAGGCATTTTCTCTCAAATGAAGGACAGGCAAGCCATTTATAAGTTTGAACTGCTTTAAAGGTTCCTGGTTTGTGATGCTAACCTACTAAATTAATTGTCCCTCTTCAGACCCTGGACCCTTAGACTTTGTACTTGTAAGTACTTGCTGGACTGGAGCACTTTGAACTTTGACTTAATGGTGGTCTGGACTCCCTGCACTGGAAATTGTTATGTGCAGCTGGGATGGGAGAAGAGCCTTCTAAGGAAAGAAAGATTTTTATTTATTTATTTATATATATATATATTTATTCATCCAGAATAGGCTGGGAAATATGTCTGAACTGGTGTTTGTAGACTTAGTGATTTGTTTTATGTTTGATCCAAATAGCCAAGTATAAAAACATGTATGTCAGTTGCAGACCATAAGATAAGTAAGCAGTGATGAAGATGTTGAGTGGACATTGTTTTTTTTTTTCTAGAGGAGTGAATGTAATGCTTTACCTGCATACATGGATTCAAAAGTGTGATGATCTATGAGAATCTTAGCTCAGAAATTTTAAAACTATGCCACTTTAGAAACATAAATAAAAAACCGTAAACTTCCATGAGATACTTATTTTTAGCCCCAGTGTTTCACAGTGCAGGTGGCAATGTCACCTTTTAAAGTACAGATACAATTCCAGTACCAGCTCCCCTCTCTTTCCCCAGCACACGGCCCTTTCCACTTAATCAGAGAATTTGTTGAAGTATGGGTAAGTGAAGTCAAGCACGGAGATTTGCCCAAGAAGCGGGCAGTCTGGAGCATGGATCAACACTGTTCACACTGATTCAAACAAGTAGGAAAAAAAAGGGCACAGGAATGCAATTCTGCTGAGTGCAACAGGAGTATGAAAAAACATTTCTGTTCAGAACAAAGCTTCTTTCTGTGAGAGTGTGTGTGTGTGTGTGTGTGTGTTCGCAAAATCTGATTGGTTCTTGTAAGAAGAAACTAAAAAAACCCACTTTCTACAGTGTTGTCAGGACTTTTTAAAAATACATTTTAAATCTATGCAAAATAAGTAATTTCACTGTGTTCTATTTCTTGAGATAATGAAATGTAACAGATGTAGAAATGTAAGTTTCAATTTGATATATGCTTTCCTAAAAATTTGCCCAACCACCTAAGTAGCAATATTTGCATTAAATGATGCATACTTAAGACTGTAATGTTTAACAAGATATCATGAGATGTTTTACCAGAAGGTAAAATACAGTGAAATAACATTGGTTCTTTTAACAAATCAATTTAAACAGAATTTCTAGAAACATAAAACTGCCAACATTATTTTTATGCAATATATTTATTTTAGCAAGCACTTTATAGATACATATGACATGGAACAATAAAATTTCTGTGGGAAAAATGTATCCCATTAGCTAAAAGTAAAATGTTACTACTATCATTATTACTGCTCCTGTTGTCAATCATTACTATTTGGCTTTGGAGATATATGGTGAGAAAAGTCCAGACAACAATCTCTGAGGACTGAGACTAGAAAAATCCTATTAAAAATAAAAAGAGGAAAAAAGAAAAAGAAATATATCCTTTGGGTAACAACTAGATTTTTTTTATGGAAAAGTTCTTTTGGTGGAAAAGTCTTCACCAATTGAACAAGAGAAAGAATACGAATGTCCATAGTCTGACTATATCTGTTAAATTGATTGTACTTTCAAAATACTGGGTTAGATTTAAAAGTCTATAAAATATGAAATGAGGCTAATTTTCACAATTTTATCTTCTTTTCTCTTCCACATCTAGACTCCAGTCCCTCCTCCATGTGCAATGGATTGATACCAAGTCTTTATTCTTATGGAAAGGAGTGTCTTGATTTTCAGGCACTTCCTGAAGATTGTTGTTGAAAGGAAATGTCAGATGCTGACAGATCTGGTCTTGTAGGTACCGACCTGAACACAGGTGTTCAGCCTGACTCTTGAGCTTCATTTAATCTGCCAGCAGATCAAATTCTCCCTCCATATGGTGTTATGCCAAGTGACTCAGAGCGTGCAGTGGCTGCAGCAAATCTCACCCCAGGGCTGGGGGCAGCTGCAGAGGCTGGCCATGCACGGATGCTCGAGATTCAACCCAAACAATCCCCCTTCTTTCAGCTCTCCCACATATGCAGCCATATGGAGATTTTGGACTGTGGCTTGTCACTCTCCATGATTTAATAAATTGGTGGTAGACAAGTTAGCTAAGATTTCTAAGCACAGAAGATTCAGAGCTTCTTTGAAAGGTACATTTTCATCTTGAAACTCAAGCTATTTAAGAGGGTTAAAAAATTTTATTGGCTTCCTCCCCTTCAGTTCTCCCTATTATGCTATGAAAGACTAACAAGAACAACTAATATATAAAAATGACCCCTTGTCAAATCCCACAGTCTTTCCCTGGTGATTGACCCTGCAGTAGGAGCAATCTGTGATGGATGATGTGTAGGGTGAATGGCGCAGAAACTGTCAACAAAGGACTGACTTGTATTTTCCCTTCTGGTTTTCAAAGTTACTTATAAAAAGGCAAGGCAGGGATAATAGATACAGTGCAAAGTAACATATATAGATGGCATATACAAATGTAATACATAGTAATTGAAGAGTTTGCAATTTGCATTGCAGTTTTTCTGCATAAAATGTTCTGCATATGAGTTATGGTGGTTGTTTTTTCTCGTGACAGCAGACTACTAAATGAGCACTGTCTTAGAGT